CCACTGTCCTGGGGATAAAGTCCATGCTCTGAAGCTGCCTTCACCAGGCCCAGTGTGGGCTTACACCCACCATCGAGACAGCCTCAGGCCACGCATGGGCACAGGGACCCCAACTTTTAGAATTTCATATGGAGGCAGGACGGGGGTTAAGAGCATGGGCCTTGGAATCAGACCTCGGTTCAAATCCCAACCCCACCATTTTATTCAAAATGGCAAGGGGAAAACACTCCTAAACCAAGAAACCCCCAGTGCTTCACCTGAGCTATCTTCTCCACGAAGGCCCTGGCTTCCTCAGCACTTGCCTCAATCACGCCTCATCAGCCCTTCAGCTCAGCTCAGGCGTCCCCTCCTCCAAGAAGCTCACCTGGAACCTGGCCTGAGTCAGGGGTCTTCTCTGGGCTCCTGCTTCCCAGCCCTGACCACTTGGGGCTGTCACTATCTGGGAATGGGTCTCTCCCCACTGTCCCCGCTATGAGAGCTCTGGAAAGGCTAAAGGACAAGTGTGTGGTATTGGGGACAGGAGTAGAGCACAAGGTGAGCTCTGGGATAGGGTAAGACTTGGAGGCTGGTGTGGGGACTGTCGGAGGGGCCAGAGAGGGCTTCAGATTGGGGTAATCCCGGGGTTCTCAGGGTTGAGGGCTGGTGGGTAAAGGCCAACAATGGCCCAAAGATTAGGATGGGGGGTGTGGGGGAGGTCAGTGAGGAGGAGGTGTTGGTCCCAGGGACAAGTGTGGGGTTGGGACCGCTCTGCAGGGTCGGTGTGGGTCCGGGGAGGTGGTGGTGGGTGCTGTCATACCTTGGGGGCCCCAGGCTGGATGGAGGTGATGCACGCGGGGTCAACAAGGGGCTTGGGCCGGCGAGCCGACTCCTCAATCAGGCTCTGCCACTGACGGGGCAGCCCTGTGAATTTCTGCTCATGCTGGTCAAAGCCTGTGTGCACGCGGTGCTCGAAGTTGGATGGGGCCGAGATCTCCACCCGCTTCTTCCTCTTCCCAAACATGGTGTCAGGATCTCAGCACCTGAGGGCTGAGGCTTGGGCTCCTACCAGGGGGCCTGTGGGAGGGAACCACCGGCAGGGTCACTGGCAAGTGATCCGAACCCCCCCATTTCTCCCCCTCCTCTGCCCCTGCCCCGGGTTCTGTCCATCCTCGTCTCCCTCTTGGACCGACAGGAGGCAGCAGCTCCCTCCTGGGTCTCCCTGCTGCCTCCACAATCGGTTCCTCACGTGCAGCCAGGGCGAGACGAGTCAGGTCAGGTCCCTCCCCTGCTCAGAGCCCTCCTGTGGCTCTGTCTCATGCAGCAGGAAAGCCAGCATCCTCCCTGTAGCCCACCAAGCCCCACAAGATCTGCCCCTATCACCTCTCTGTTCTCATCTGCCCCTCAAAACTTCAGGGCCTTGCACGGGCTATTCCCTCTACCTGGAACACTCTTCCTCTGTGTCCACACACGGCTCCCTCCTCCAGCCCCCATGTCCCACCAACCCTCCACCACGTCACCTTCACAGCATTTTAACTGTGAACTTCTGTTGTTCATTCTCGTGTTTACTCATTCAGCATCCACACTCCCCACCACTAGAAAGTCTGTGTCATGGCCAGGCCTCATCTACTCAGTACCTGTGCCCACCGCCATGCCTGGCACACTCTGTGTGCTCAATGAACAGTCACTGAAGGCCTGGACACAACCACCCCGCTTGCCCAGCCCTGAGTTTGGGCTCAGCCCGCCACACACCTTCAGTTGCTCACTTGACAAATGGTTACTGAGCCCCTGTCACAGGCAGGACGCCCAGGCATCCTCACTGCAACATGCCCCTATCTTTAGGGTCTACGGTCTTCAGTCAGGCACTTAAAACAGTACCAGGCACAAAGGAGATGCTCAAAAAAAGTCGATTTAAAAAAGGGGAGCATGCTAATGATGACGTCCCATAGGGAGCCCAGAGCAATGATGGGAAGGGGGTCCAGATGGCCGCAGCACCAATTTCTCTCCTTATTCACTACCTGTGACCTTGAGCAAATGACGTGACCTCTCTATGCCTAGGGTCAACCCCTCAGGGCTGCTGTGAGGAGTAAAGGAGTGAGGAGAGCAAAGAGCTTAGCCCAGGGTTGGGCACAGTGGGATGCCCATCAGTTGTGCTACCGAGATTACTGGCTTGCTCCACCAGTGCCTGAGAAAGGAGGTCCTGCCCGCTGTTGGATGCTCCACCCCAGCTGTCCCACACTTGGGCCCTGGAGTCATGCAGACCTGGTGTGATGCCGGCTGGGCTAGAAGTGCCCTTGGATGGGTGACGTCTCCTCTTGTGGCTTTGGGTTACTCATCTGTAAAATGGGAAGAAAACATCCATTCACTCATTCAGCCATTCATTCATTCAGTAATAACTCACCAAAAGGCCTCTTTTGTGCCCAGCCCTATGTTGGCTGGTGCCAGGGACACAATGGTGACCTAGATAGCCTCTGACCTCATGGGGTGCCTATGTGGGGCAGACAGACCTGTCCCCAGACAGTGACAGACAAAAAGTGGTCAGGGCTAGGGTCAGGGGGAAAGCCAGACCCAGCCTGTGGGGATGGCAGGGTGGGATAAGGAAGGGAGGCTTCCCAGTGGAGGGGCCATGTAAGCTGAGACCCAGAGGACGAGGAGCAATGTGCTGCTGGGGACTGCTGCCTTGTTCCCAGCTGGCTCCCCAGCGCGTGGCACAGTGCCCAGCACAGAGTCGGCACCAAGCCCTGTGGACACCTAGTGAGAAGAAGCTCACAGCGTGTCTACAACCACGTGGCCCCTCCAGTGCCTAGTCCTGTGTGAGCAGCTCTGGGTGGTTTGGCCACCACTCCTAGCCCAGAGGTAGGATCATCAGTGGGTAGCCATCCAGGGAAACCGGTTTGGCAGTGGGAGCTCAGTGGGAGGTGGGTGGGGACCCAGCAGCCAACCTGTCTCAACTGGTCCCAAGAGGCCAGTGGTGGTCAGAGCTAGGCCTGGCCAGGGCTCCCCCAGCTGGCCCAGTTTCCCTGCTTGCTCTGGGGCCTGGGGTGCCCAAATGTGAGGTGGGGCAGCCCCAGGCAGGATGGGGCCCCATTTGCCTCTGCCCCAGCCCCTTCTCTAACCCCAAGTCAGGAGTCCCTTCAGTGTCTCTCCCCAATGCAAGCACCCTGAACACTGTCCATCTTCCCCTTCAACTTTCCATCCCTGGCCACCTAACACTGGTCTCAAACTACTCCCTGCTCCCTCCCTCTCTGGTCTTCTCTGCCCTTGGTTCTTGGTCTTTCTGGTTCCAGCTCTTAGGGTCGTTCCTACAGCCCTGACAGTTTCTCCTGCTCTGTCACTCTAGATCTGTGCCCCATGTCCTATAGCCTGTCTTTCCAGATGACCCCTCCCATTTGGCCCCACACCCAGCCCTGCTTCCAAACCTTGAACTTGGCCGGCCCATCCAGTCCACTCCTCCCACCACCTGGGGCACCAAAGCAGCTCCCACGGCCCCCTGCAGTAATAGGATCAGCCATGTGACCCCTCACTATGCCCAGGAGAGGGAGGGGCAGATCTACAGGTAGCAAGATGGGTGGGGCTGGGCAGGAGGCCGCCTGGAAGATAGGGCAGCCAGGCCAGCTGGCAGTGCAGGGGCGGGGCTGTCCTGTGGCAGTCTGCCCTCCCACCCTGCCACAGATTGGAACCCCTGCCCATACACCCCCACACCCCTCTCACTGCAACCCATGTGACCCTGCGGTGGAAGGGGATGGAGGGGCACACCTCCGGATATTTGCCTGGGGCCACCCCTTCCCTCTGGGCACCACATAGAGGGCAGGACAAATAGAGGAACTGACCATGTTTATAAAGACCAGGCAGGAGCCCCACCCTGGCCCTCCCAGGCAGCTCCAAGCCCGGCAGCTCCCAGACCAGGCCCTCCCTTCCCAGCACAAGGCTCCCGACCTCCTGGAGGCCACAGAGCCAGAACCAGAGCCAGGCCTGGAAGGGAGGGAGAGGAGCCGGTGCTGGAGTCCCAGGCCAGGGCTCAAAACTGGCTCACCGCTGTGCACTGTGTGACCTCGCTTTGTATCTGTGAGGTGGGGATGACCCAATAGGTGGCCTGGGCAAGCAATTCAGCTACTCTGTGCCTCAGTTTCCTCCTCTGAGGGCGATGACAGCAGCTGCTTTCTGGAGTTTTTGTAAGGAGTCACAGGGAACACAAGGCACTGATGGCCTGGCCCAAAGAGGGCCATTAGGATTGGAGTCAAGGCAAAGTGCACAGAGTAAGTGCTGACAGTAAACACTGGTCCCCATTATGACAGCGGCCTGCACTTAGCACCTACTATGTGCTGTCCCTCTACTAAGCACTTCACCCAGAGTCCTTCATGTAACCTGCGCCTCTGACCCAGGAGGAATGGGTTGTTATGAGCCCCACGTCACAGACAAGGAAAACAAGACCCATAGAGGGCACCCCACTTGCTCAGGTGACACAGCTAGGTGGCAGAGTGGACATCAGACGCCAGACCTGTCCAATGCAGAGCCCATGCCCCGCCAGTTCTCAGAGTGACAGCTGCTGCGACTGTGGAGATCAGTGTGAGCCAGGCCCTGCTCTTTGTGCCCAATCCCATTCCATCCTGACCACTAACCTGTGAGGCAGGTATTCTCATTAACCCAGTTCACAGACGGGGAAAGTGCAGCCCAGAGAGGGGAAGCCGGGGCATCTGGGCAGTTGGCCACTGAAGACTGGGCTCTTACTTGCCTGTCCTGCCCTTGAGGGCTGTCGTGATTTTGTTGGTTTTGTCTATTACCATCATCATCATCATCAGCATCACCATCTCCAAGGCGGCTCCTGGACCCCATCCCTTTCTCACTCCCTCCCTGTCCTCCTTGCCTTTCCTCTCCTGCCCTGGTCTCTCCTGGGAGTGAGGGTCCCCACCCCCATTTGACCTTCAGTGGGAGACAGCACAAAGTGGGGCTCCTGGGTCCTCACAGCTGCTTATCTGCCTTTCCACAGGCCTTTGGTAAGACAGGCCACAGCAGAAAAGATGGTTGAAAACCAGTCCCTGCCATTAAATATGGCTTACTGAGGCTCCGCTCCATTACTCACACTGCTACCAGCACCGTCAGGGGACCCACGACCCTGCGCAGATGCCGACGTTGAGCTAATGGCTCCCTGCAACTTCGGTGGAGTGGCTATTCTGATCCACATTCTGCAGATGTGGAAACTACAAATGTGAAATCTCTCACTAAGGTCAAGCACAGCTGGGCCCAGAAAACAGTCTGACCCACTCTAGAGCTGACATCTTTAAACTCTTTGCTGGCCCCCAAAACTCCTCATGGCCCACAAGTCCCCACAGGATCCGCCTGTCACCTTGAGGCCCCCTTCTTTTTTTTTTAAGATGACCGCTAAAGGGATCTTAACCCTTGACTTGGTGTTGTCAGCACCGCACTCTCCCGAGTGAGCCACGGGCCGGCCCTGAGGCTCCCTTCTCCTCCCACACACCCCCTCACTCACTCTGCCCCAGCCACACGAACCTTCTTGCTGTTCTTCAAATCCTAGACATGTCCCCACCTCAGGGCTTTTGCACAGCCTGTTTGCCCCATCTGGAACTCTCCTCTCTGTACATGGCTCCCTGCCTTCCCCCTCGAATGTCTGTGCTCAGATGTCCCTGCTCCTGTCCTGTCACCCTCTGTGCCCCTTTCCGTTTTATCTTTCCTCATGGAACTTAACCACATACGTGTGTGTGTGTGTGTGTGCGTGTGTGTGTAATTCTTTAGTGTCTACCTCTCCCCCGAGAATGTCAGCTCCATAAGGGCAGGGACTGTCATCCATCTTGCTCCCTGCTGCACCCCAACACCTACAACACTGCACAGTGCATGGTGGGTCCTCAGTGAACATCTGGTGAACGAACTGATTCATCTGTACCTGCTACCTGACACCCCTGCTCAGACTGGGCCCAGCAGAAGCTGGGGAAACTTGCATGGAGAAATGCCTGGAAGCCAGGGGCAGAGAGTGAACCAGTAACCCCAGAGAGACAGAACACAGAAGACTGGTGTGCAGCCCCCAGCCACCAGCCAGGGGCGCGGATGCCTCTGAAGTCCAGTGTTTGATCCTAAAACTGTAGGCACATTTTGCGTCCTACTCTAAAATATTTATTATATATATTTTTTCCTTTTTGTCTTTTTTCATGACCGGTAACAGGATCGCAACCCTCGGTGTCGCGCCCGTACCGCGACCAGCAACGGGATCGCAACCCTCAGTGTCGCGCCCACACCGCGCTCAACCAGTGACCGGACTGGTCTCTATATGGGATCCGAACCCTAGGCGGGAGCGCTGCCATGCTCCCAAGCACCGCACTCTACCGAGTGTGCCACGGGGCCGGCCCAATATTTATTATATTTTTAAAAATCTTTTGAATTGTTTAACGTGGGACAGGCAGTTTCCCACCCGGCCTAGCAAAAGCTTCTAATTTTCCATCACTCCTGCATGCATTTGTTCTGCCCTCTGACCTTTCATGGGAAGAAAATTGCACCACCACCCCCCATGCCCACCCACCCCTGAAGGTAATCAGCCCAGGCGGAAGAGCAAGATCCACTTGGGTGACAAAGCTGTCTGGGAGGGTGTGTATGCATGTGTGTGCAAAAATCCTCATCTCCTGCCCCCCCACTCCGCCCTCTCCAGGCTCTGGATAAAGCTGCTGCCCCTGGCGTAGAGGGAGCTGACCCAGCCAGAACCCAGGGGCCCAGGGGAGGAACAGGGGATGCGGCCAGGGTCACAGCCATCTTTTCATATTCACCAAAATGCAGCTGTAAACCAGGAAGGGGACGATGAAGAAGTGCTCATTGTCTCCAGCCTGCGCTCAAGACCTCTGCCACTGCCCCCCTCTCACTCCCTGCCATGGTCTTTATCGCCAGCTTCAGGAAGGACTCAGTTTACACCCTACCTTCTAGGGCTGTGCTCTGATGATGGAGGGGAGTCTGGCTTGCCTTTCCAGCCTCCAGCAGGCCCCTCACTGCCCTCCTGAATCCCTCCATGCCATTCCCACATCCACACCTCTGCTCAGTTCTTGCCGCTGTCCTGAGGGCCCCCCACCCTCCCTATCCAATGCTCTGAGCCTGGTTCCTCCAAGGAATCCTCAGGCTTTGGGACTCACATGTCCCATAGCCCATGCTTGGCACACACCTACTCTGCCCACAAATGACTGCATCACACCTACCCACCCATCAATCCATCCAACCATCCGTATCTACTGAGGGCTAACTCCCCACCAGACCTGGTGCCAGGGCCTACAGCAGTGGATGCAACAACCGCCAACATCCCTGCCTGTCCTTATGGAACTCACACTCTAGGGGAGGAGACAGT